CATCACACATCCTTGATATACAAACAGCAAACGAGAAAAATTAAATGGGGAGGAATTCATTTAAACATTTCTTTAGGGTACACAAATAAACACAACTCAAAGCATGTACTCATGAAGTCGACCTCCTCTGCTACTTTCCCACTGTAACAACCTGTGTGCAACATGCAGCAGGTATCCAACTTGTTTTACAGCATTTAAGCTTCAACCACTGCTTAATAAAGCCTTTAAACAAGCAACACTGAAGGGCCAGAGAGACAAGTGGCTGCTGCCCCATTGCTACAAAACACTTGTGCTTTCTACCACCTTTCGCCATCCTTCCTGAAGCTCCCGAGCACGCTTGGCAGGAAGGACTTTGCCATAGATACTGAAATCAAAACAACTCCCCTCAGCTGCATTGGTTCAGCCAAAACCCCCTCACTTTTCCTCACAGTGGAAGCACACATGACATACAGGAACAACCCACCTTCTGCAAGCAGTGGGAGCTGTCTCTTTATGTTAAGAACCCATGCAAAAAGGCACCACAGCATCTGGTGGCAGGAACCCTGGACCACTGGTGCCAGGGCAATGACAGCATGCACGGATGCCAGGTTTTTATTACAACTTGTGTGCACTTATCAGCATCACACCACCTTCAGAGGTTTCCATGCCTGCAATGGTATACTGTTATTCTTTAAAGAGGTGTTATTCTCTACAGCTGTAAAATGGACTACTCACTTGAAAGCACCCAAATATTACACACCTTTTGAGATGAGCCAAACAAGCACTTCAGTCTTAAATACAGAGTAGAAATTGGACAACAAGTGTATTAAAGAAGGAACTTTACAGTATCATGAGTGTATGTGACAATACAGGAGTCCTTTCTTCCAGTAACTGCCATTTGCTTATTTTAAAAGAAGATAATAAAAGTGACATAATAAAACAAAATGCTTAAAAATTAAACCAAAGTAATTTTTTTTCCACTCAGATGTATAGAATAGTAAAGGAAAAATAATTTAAATCATTTCCTTAGTAATACAAGTAATATTTAAATAGATTTAATAATGCTGCTCCAAACCAATGAATTATGAGTTTAAAACCTATTAAAATGTAATGTTTTTTTCCTGAGCTGAGGGAGAGAGATTTAAATCCACTGAATTTTAATATTTCAGCTTGAGCTGCAGGAGGTAGAGAAAGTCCAAATGAACTATTCCATCAGCACCATTCAAGCATGAACATTTTAATCAGTTTTACTTCCTTGGAGTTCTCCAACACAGTTTACGCTGTCATTCTGAAAGCACTTAACACAGAGGGTGTGAAAAACCACCAAGGCTTGTTATTGCCTTCACAATTGATGGCAAATAATTTTGCAGACTTCCTATCATTAAAATGTCACTGCTAAAAATTGAGGTTCAGCATTTCTTGTGCAATACTGCATTTTCTTTGAACATCATCACACACCTGTTCTTAAGTTTTTGGTACATTTCTCTCTCTCCATGTGATAAACAGGCACACAAGCAGTAGCCTCCACTTCTGCCTTACTACCCAACCGCAGTTGAAAATTGACTATTTTAAACAAGGGGCAGGGGGAAGACTCTGATAAAATCCTTATAAAGTTACCAGTTAATTCCCTGACTCCCATATTAAAGTGTAACCACATTCGCACCACTTGTTCTGATTATATAGCATAATGGATTTAAAAATAAAATAAAATAAAAATTTAAGAGAGTTAGATGACTCAATTTAATAATACAGGAAATTAAAACATCATTTCTAATTAGATCATATTACTGATTTAAGGCTACAATTTGTGCGTGCAGATTCTAATTTAAAAACACAGCAGCTATGACACATTACAAGATCCACTGGATACATCACGCTGCTTACCCAGATACACTCAACCTGGAAAGCAGCCCTGGACGTTTACTATAAATTGCTTCAGGCAAGAATGCTGTGCCATACTGTCCATGGCAAACACAAGATGCAGTGTCTGGATGCCGACAGATTTACTATCACCCTCCTACAGCATGCTTACGATACCTAGCTTTGGTCTAGTTTTTCTCCCTGCATGTCTCCAGAAGATAGATGATATTTAACTTGTTTCAGCCCGTCAACAGTTTTAAACTGAACATGACCTGCGAAAGAAGTCATTATAACTGTGTTTCATTCCATTAAACACAACTAGTTTATTGTCAGGAGAACAAGCAGTCTCTCTGGGTTCCAGGCTCACTTCAGTATTTTGCATTTAAACTGCACGGATCAGTGATTTGGTTCATTTACCAATGAAGATAGAATAATATTGCAAAGTTAAACGGTGCTTCATCAGATTCCATTAAATCAGAGCACATTCGTACAAAAATACATACAAGCCGAGCACAAAGAGATGTGATTTGGGCACATCTGATTCTTTTCTTGTGCCATCCTCCATTCTGGTACAATCCATTTAAAACTCAAACCCAGGGCACCTCCATTTGAATCAAAGGGGTTTAGGATGAGTGAGGTGAATTGAATAGGGCCGCCCACTGCACAGAGAAAAGCTACAGTTTTGTTTCAAAAACTCAGCTACTGCTTTCTACCTTCGTCTGATACACAAATCAATAGGGAACTAAAAGATACATTTTTTTAAAACTGTGAAGAGCAAATGAACCTTGGAAGTTTTTAAAATATCACAGGGTTAAGGGAACACAAATTCTGTCAGTCTTATCAAACAGCAAAATAATACTAGACAACATAATTAGAGATAGAGAAAAGCCATGATTTCTAATTACTTACTTTGTTTTATTTTTATTAGTGTTCAGTTCACAATGTACGACAAGCCTTTTTCAGTCCCACGCTATATTTCCAGACTTTAAATTTCTTGAAGTGCAGACATAACAATATTGTAGGTATTCATGCAACTAGAACTTAAAGCTTTTTTGATAACTTGCTGCTCTCTTCATTCCCTTTCTTTAATGAACCTTTTAAAGACTGCATTAGATTACTTCTCTTCAAACCTGACAAATATGAAATTTTCAGCCTGTATTGCTCCTGTTTTTCTAAAACTAAAGAGAGGGCCACACAGCATTTCCTAAGTCATCTTAAAACAGGAGAGTAAAAAAAAACAAAAAAGAGGAAAAAATCAGTCTTGTGACAGAGGTGAGACCTTTACAATTTTAATTCACAAAACAAAAATTCAGATATTATGAAAATCTGAGGCAACAGAATTTCAACTGACTTGAAGAGACAGCAACAAATGAAAATGTACTTCTGTCTAGTGGGGGGCAGACCAAACAAAGTTACTGCCAGGCTCCCAGATAAGTGTCTAGTCTGTTTATATTTATTCTCTGCGGTTTAGTGGTTCATGGAACAGGATAAACTTAAATAAGGAGTGCAAAAGCCAGTGTCTATAACATCATATGTTTTACTTCAACCGACTTATCCTTTAATAGAAAGAAAAGTGCTTCTTGCAGTCGCTGTAACACACACAAAGGGCACTGGCATGGAAGTGCAGAAGCAGACTGTGAAGTAGTGATATGGACACGTGTGCATGTGCATGTACACACACACACAGAGGCACACAGAGAACAGTACAGGCACACACACACACGCTGTATATGCACAGGCAGCACACATATAAAAACTTCCTTAACAAAGAATCGAAGCTTTAGCTACTTAATTTATGCAAGGAATGTTAATAAAAGGCAATATTTTTGGTTAGGTAATGAAAACTAATTGGGAAATTATTCATCTCCCACTCTCCCCACTGGAGCGTAAAAGACGTACAACAAATGTTATTCACGATTCTACACGACTCGCTCCGATTCACCCCCTTCTTTCTAGCGGGCACTTCAGAGGAAATAAAGGTTACTCTTTTCCATTTATATCTTCTAATTGACTACCAGTGTTTTCTTGTGGTCAGAGGGATACAAAATAGAGTTAGAAACAGCCTATTAAAACCAAGCGACAATCAGACTGCTGCTCTACACTACCGTCAGCAATGATCAGAGAGTTCTGATTTCCTTGTTAAAAGACAGAGGCATAATTGAAGCAATATCTTCACTTCAGATTGATTATTCGGCGACCCTTATCCACATCTTCACTCAGCAATTTGAATTTTAATGAAAGTAAATGGAATAATTAGCATTTCAAAGTGTGTTTGATACACTGAATAAAAAAAGAAAAAGGAAGAGACTTTTATGTATAATCTATACACAAAAGAAAAAGCATTTGGGAGCAGAAGATGGGAAGTGCAGTTGTAGTGTCTTCATTAGAATAACTTAAACAACTGCTTGCACCAGCTGCATAATTACACATGTGAATAATGTGCTATTAAGCTATGACTTCTCACCTTTATTTTATGCAATGTGAACAGCCATGGCTTTCGTTGTTACGCTTTTCCTCTCCAGTTGTGAAATGTAAACACTGGCTGCCCGCACCCATAAAATCTCACAGGACTGCTATATCAAGGCTAATATTGCTGGCAGTAAAGACTTTACAAGACTGGCTCCACACCCCAATATTTTCAGATGACTAGGAGAAGGGTGCCTGTGAGCGCACTGGGGAAGTCGTTCTGCTGTCGATTTTAGTTGCGTGGGTTTTGTTTTTGTCTTAAAGTACTAGCTATTTTTTAATGTAAAAATAAAAAGCATGGCAAACGTTCACAGTTGTGAGCCACCATCCACAAAAAGATGTGGGCAGTGGAATGGGAAAAAACCCTCCTAAAGTACAGTGTGTCATATGCATGCTACCTGTTACCTTGGCTGCAGAAGCAGACTGTATGCAAAGGAAGCAATGTAATTTAAAAAGGACAACAACAACAACAAAAAAAACCCCAAAACTCAACAGATACTGACCCAGCCTTGGGGAATGGATACAACACAGACATTAATTATCTTCTCAGCACAGTGCAAGTAGAAGTTTTCAGGCAGTAACCAGCTTTCACAAAGATAAAGCTACTGAACTTCACCACTGCCCACAGCTTTTGCCTACCTGATGGAAAGAGTTCATACAAGAGAGAAAGAAAAAGAAAAGCTATTTACAAACACTATTAGAGCTGAAATGGAAAGACCACGTACCCCAATGATCGCGTTCAGTTCTGCCATGGTCACTTGCTTGGCACGCTCCACAGCCTGCACCACTTGTTGCTGGTGCTATAAATGAAGATCAGAAACAGAATAAAATTATTTGTTTTCTAAATGATTAAGTACCAATACTTCCTTGTGTCTTTTTTTCTTTGCTTTTCAAATGCATGCAGCGCTCGAAATAACTGTTCTTTAACAGACAGTCACATTCTGTGTTGATCTGTAAGAGCATCAGATAAGGGGAGTATATTTTTTTTAATGCCATTACTTGCCAGGAATTACACCTTTGCTCCCCAAAGAGCTATTTTACAGCCTCGCTAAATGGGGAATTGTCTTTCTTTTTGTTCATCAGCGCAATGTGCTCCTGAATTTACTTGCCATTTTACTTACAGATACAGAACCTTTCTCTTGGGGAAAAAAAAAAAAAAAGCATACTGAAAAAGAAAGGTGCATATTTTCAGTAAGTTCATGGCACCCACAACACTTATGGATATACAGATTTTCCTTCTAGGTGCATTTCAAAGCATCTCAATCATAAGAAAGAAATTTAAAATGCCATTCACAATTCTGTCAAACACATGAAAGAGAACTAATTATTTCAATCCCCAACATGTAAATTTTAATAGCTTTAAGAAGTCCATCAAAAACACATGGTCTAATTAACAACAAAGTTTACAAGCTTCAGTGGTTATATTGTCTCAGTCTGAGTGATACGGTATTCTTGCAGTAAATTCAAAATTGCTGTACAGTGAAAAATTATATTTATTTGAAAACATCAACTACAAATAAAATGAAGTCCTCATCTTGCAACCAGACCCATGCCTGTTCAGAGCCCCAGTAGTGACAAATTCATCTGCACCTCAAAGGGTCAGAATTTCAGGCAACAAAATGGTGCAAGTGCAAGTAGGTTGTGTGTTCTACAGTGGGAGTAAGTCATCTTTGATTTACAGTCACAGGTTGAAGACAGAGAGGAGTGAGCTCTTGCCTATCTCACAAAGGGCTAAAAGCAAAACAACGAAACATCAGATCCTTACTGAAACCAATGCATAGATGCTCTTTGGCACAAAGTTGAATGAAATCCCTGAGTGGGTATCTTTAAAGCCTCCAGTTTGCCCTCCATGGCCGTGTATGCAGAGCAGAGCCAAGGCACAGACCATGCAGCAATACCATGTGTGTGTCCTTACTAAAGGCAGAAAGTTGCATAAAATAAGGTGGGGACATCAATCCTCAAGACTCCCTGAAACACAAGGGCAGGGGAATAGCATCACAAAGACTTCCCAGGCAGCACCCCGAGCCCCACTGAGAAAGGAGGCCATAAGGAAGGGCTCTGCTACCTCAGGGACTTCGTAGTCTCAGACGTGCCAGTTCTTGGTACAAAACACAAACAAAAATGGTACTTTTACTTATAAGCTCTTTCTCATAAAAACCCTCAGGGAGAGGAAAAACAAGCCTAAAAATCTACCTGTAACTGTAAGAAATGCTGACCTCAACTACAAAAAAAATGGATAAATGCAAATAATGAAGGAGGTAATTTAGAAACACTCATGGAAGGAAGAAAATAGTTTTAAGGTTTGTTTGTTTTTAAGCAAAAAAGAATTAAATTAAGGAAATGCCAGGAGAGCCAACAACATACTGCTGCAAACAGAATCACAGCAGTCCCATTTAGAGTTTTGTAAAGCTACAATGCTAACATAAACCAAATCTGTCACTGCTAAGCAGACAACATAAAGAACAAAAAGCAAGTCACACACGAGCAAATGTGTTCTTGGCATTTAAGGGGGGGGGGGAAAGTAGTGGTGTATCACCATAATAAATAACCAGTAAAAAGGAAATTACAATGCTAAAGCCTCCAGCTCTTGATGATGTGTTAACATCTCTAGGTGATCGTATGTTAAGGACAGGGAGTGATTTCATCAGTCATGTAGCCGAAAGCCCAGTGATACCTGGTTTACATAGCAATGAGGTGATCACAAAACTTGCAACACCATTTTCTGCTGGTGGTCAGCCACACCAAATATGGGTCATAGCATTTTTGGTCAAGTTATCCAAAAAAGTCTCCCAAAATGGGTTTTAAAAATCTTTAAAATTATTTTTTTAAATCATTTATTGAGAAGCTTATAGTGATCTTTGCTTTCCTACCATTTCCTAGACAATGCTTTTTGGCAATGAAGTAAAGAAGGGGGCCTAGCTCTTGATTTGTATACATGAGCATTCAATTCCAACACCTGTTGGCTTAAATCCTGTACCCAGGGCCACGGGCAGAAGAAAAAAATTGAGGGACCCACAGAATGCTGGCCTGAAAGCATCCAAGTTATTATAGAAATTATTCCAATTTCATCCAGGTTTTGGAAAAATAAGTCAACTTCACAGGAGTCTGAATGTTGTAATTTCTTTTGCAGCCAGCATACAAAGAATGGCTCTCAAAAGTATTTGGGAAAAACATTATTTCATTCCCAGGTGAGGAGAAGAGAAAGTAAAGGGGTAGAGTACCAAAATCTCACTTTAAGGTTTCTGCTGGAAAGCACGCTAAGACAGAAATTCCCTAAGCAGCCACACAAGGCATCTTTCATTGATTCTAATAGGTTTGGGATCAAGCCTTCACAGAGAAGAGAAAACCCATGGGCCCTGTAACACTGAACCTAAATTAGGTACGGTAGAGACAATTAAAACTCTCCTATTGCTAGCTGCTTTAACATTGATTTAATCTTCAATGGCATAGTATGCAAAAGACCTGAAATAGATGGTCTGTAATTAGCCTCTCCATCACTTCCACCTCACTGCAGCAACCGAGCAGGCTCGCTCCCCAAGACCCCATGGGGGGCCTGCCCCAAGTGACCCTGGGGCTAATTCAAGTCATAGGAGCAAACTACACACTCCAGTGGGCAAATGCACAGGGAAGCAGAGTCACCCCACGCTGCAGCCGCGTGCCGTGCCAGGTCTGAAGGGCCCATCAGCTGCCCCCAGCCACTCTGAGCTCAGTGTGGGCAGGGGGATCCACATTACCAGCTGCAGCTCCAGTAACCAGCAGGGATCTCTACACACAGGGACGGAGCCTGACTGGACTCCAGGGACCCACTGCAACCGAAACCAAGGTGAATGTCATGGAGCCCAGGGGCCCGCTACGTGTGACAGCGGGTGACAGGTGCAGTCCTGCAGGTACCCCGGGATGGATGGTCCAGTGCTTACCACCTGCTTGAATGCCTTCCCCAGCCAGCACAGCAGTAACAAGCTGAATTATGTTAAAACCAAGCAGTACACATTAACCTGCCCATCAAGTGATCATGTAGTGATTTACAGCCAAGTGAAACCAGCAACAGCAAAAAAAGTGGTTACTTTTTTCCCAACCCAATCTAGAAACAGGGTGGCAGCTTTCACACATGCTTAATGCTAGCCTTCCTCTGTGCATACAAGCAAATGACAGACACATTTTCTTCAGTTATGGGAAAACAGTATTTTGCATTGCATTTAGCAGGCCAGAGCAATGAACTCAATACCCTGCCCTGCCTGTCACACAGACTTGTATCACTTCTCCTTTTTAACCACTTCCTTGCCTCTTCACCCTTTTTTTTTGCTTTCTGTAATGAGCAGCGTGTCTTGCACTTGCCTTGTGTGGCAAGATCACTTTTCAGTCTCACGGTGGGTAGCAATAACAGAGACCACAAGAAGGATGTAAGGCTTTTTCACCATCACGTTGTCTCACCACGCTCTCGTCACCTAACCCAGACTCCTGCACAGGCACTCCAGCATGGCAGAAAACACCTGGACATTTTATACCACGTCAGAGCTCCACATTAACTCCCAATGACAGGAAAGCCATGCTGACAACATCTGAGCATCCAGAATTCCTTCTGGCACGCATGCAGAGACACTGGTGTTAAGAACACCTAACTCCAGTCTGTCTCCAGCACCACCAACAACACTCAAAGTAAAATTCACTGAACAATTCACTTTGCAGAAGCAAGTAGCCTCTGCTATGTTTTATTCATATTATTCCTTTGCTGTATTATCTCATAAGAGGGAGTACACACCAGGTCTTGCTTAGGAACTGGAGCAGTGACATTCTGAAAAGCCTGATCTAGAGATGGCATAATAAGGTGAGGCTGAACCAAAACTACAAGTAAGAACCGGACAGCAAACATGTATTTACCATGGAGTGCAGCACACACTTAAGAAAACCAAAAAGAAGCAGCAGGGCCACTGCATCCAGGAAGATATAAAAACCACTTCATAAAAACTTAATAACATTATTAGCAATATTTTCATAAATGCCCAATAAGATGTCTTCCTTGGTAGAAAGATTAGATACCTGACAGCTTCCCTGTACTTACTGTTTCAGCGCTAGTCTGGGGCAAGTCTAAGATGGAGGGAAATAGTTTTGTCTTCTCAGCCTCTCACATTCAGACCAACAACTGCTTCCTTTTGAACAGCACGTGAAAACTCCTGCTCTGCTTCTGTATAATGGATCCCACGCTTTGTTCAAATATACTGAACTTTAGAAGTACCTCTACAGAAAGTACGCAGAGATGAGTAGGCACATTATGGCCCATATCTATCTTGTAAAAGGAAAACCATCAACTAATACTGAAGTGTTTGCAAGGAAAAGACTGCACACAGCATTTCCTTTTTATACATTTGTTTGTCTACATGCATGCCAGGGCTTGGTATTTTATTGTACTTCTAAGTATATTTGACAACCTTATCGCACACATGGAACTGAAGATCCCCATCAAAGAGCAATCTTTCTAGCTTGTTCATGCACAGCTGAAAGGGAAAGTGAGCCTTCTGAGAAGTATACTACAGCCTCCTCCAGCCTACGCAATGCTTGCTGCGTGGCACAGAACTTCAGAGGGGCCCATACCATGAACGTTTGTCTGGATTCTCAAGAAGCTTCTGCAGGTTGTGCTGAGTTCCAGGTTGCCACAACTACATCGTTAGCTGTAAATAACCCAGCTTCCAAGTGCCTCATGAATATAAACACAGTCAGTATTTACTCAAAGAAGGTAACTGTGATAAATGAGTATCTCCAGCCACATGGAACAAATACCACTCTGCAGCACGCAAGGTTGTTTGGCACTGCATAGCCCACAGGGTCCCACAATAGCCACACACACCACCTTGAGCAGACAGGAACTAGCCACAACTTGAAAGTCACAGGGTTGGTTGTATAAGAGCCATGCTATGCTGCTAAATTGAGTTGAGAAGCAGCATACATTAGCAGGGGCATGATGTATAGCTTTAGACCCAAAATGAATTGCATCTTCCTGGCCAGATCATTCAGTGACATAAACATTGAACTATTGATACCAGATGCAGCAGATCAAAACTAAGTTAACTGGGTACTAACAACCTCCAAGTACTTACCTACAACCTTGCAGGCACCCCCTTCACCTTATGCAATAGAACTACTCTGAGCACACTGGTATCTCACAACATCACAGGGAGGTGGAAAACGACTGTTGCAACACAGGAAGCCTGCAACTGCAGCAGAAATGGAACACGTACCACCCTTGAGTTCTATCTCATGCCTAGACCACAAAGTCAGTCTCTCCTGTCACAATGGGAAGCTCGTATTTCTTGGTGATTTTTTTTTACAGTCTTCTTAAGTTGAAGTGAACATAAAAACAAGGCACCACTTGATGGTGTATTTAGGCATGTTAGGAATTTATTCTCACTATATGCTTAGATGATGTACAGCACAGTAAAAGTGACTGAAGCCTGGAGAATTTCCTAAATACTTGACTGGATTGCCCCCTGAAAAAATGCAGACACTAGTACACAGCAGGCTGATGTATTATAATTGCATCCTTTTCACAAGATCTCTAGTGATTTTGGCCACGATTTCTTACTTCTAAGTGAGTTATCGCAAGCCATTGATTCCTTACAAAGTTAACAAGCAATAAGACAAGTTAACCTGGTGCTATTACGAGGCAATAATGTTGCCATCAGTGCATGTAACCACTGTATTTTGTTCATTTTTCCCTCAGGAACAATACAAAGGAGTCGGATCACATTTTTCAGCCACTATTCCACAATTAGGCTGTATGCAAAACACATAAACAGCAAAAGCATGCTGCAATTCAATTCTCTATTAATCTTGATGATGAAATAAAGAGACTTCCATTAAGATATTCGCTTTTTAAAGACACAAATTAGACAGAAACCAAGAATAGCAGAATACTCAAATCTGGAGATCAGTTCTCTTTTGCCTCACCAGCATATGCCAATATAAACGTCTTTAAATATACATTTCTACTAACAGAAGTCAAACAACTACCAAAAGTTTCCCAAACCCAATACCAAAACTATCACGCTCAGTGGCACTGTCAAGATCTGAGAAAAGTTTTTTTTTGTGCTGCTTTCAGTCCCTCTCTGCTGCCTAGTCCTACTCCTCTCTTGATAGGTTAACTAAAAAGCACACTTGCTTTCACGCAAGATGAACATCTACACAGGTTTTCAGGAATTGCCTTTGTCAACACCTGTAAAATTCCTGTAGCTTTTAATTTTTTTGACCTATCTCCTCTGAGATAGAGCTTTGACAGCATGCAAACATGTACAGAGGAAGCGCTGCAAGACCCGGAAAATGAGACAGACACACTGACAGGTGAATGACACCTTACAAGCCACAGATCTAAAAAGCAGTGGCTCATAGCACTGAAGCCATAAGAGAGCATGTTTTCAGACCTAAAAATGCCTAACTCATACCTTAGATCTAAACCCTAACAAAGTAAACAGCAGTCATTAAGCACACTGAGACTGGTGTACTTAAGGCCTCAGTAGATAGTACTGTACCCATGACAGAAGTCGGACAACATAATTTTAAAAATTTACAATCTGGATCATCTCAGTTGTCTATTTACACAGTTCTTATAACTAGCATATCAACAACAAACTACCGCAATGGCTAAATTCAGAATTACTTCAAAATTGCTCTCCATGCCTAGCTTGATGGCCAGGGGATTGTTATACAGTGATCAGGGCCCTTGGCTCATACTTCACAAGTTACTGTATGTGAGCACCACATGGGAGATTCTCCTCAATGAGAAAAAAAAAAAGAATTAAGTAAAATGTGCAGCCTTCACTGTGCCTCTCCCTCTAAGGCAGGGACTTAAAATGTACCAATACCAGCTTTTGGGAGAAAACTCCAGGGTAATTTAGCTCCAGGGACAGGAGAGCATGATACATAGGCAGCAGACAAAAAGGAGAGAGTCCATGCTCACCTGACTGGGATGACACTAACATCAAAGCTCAAAAAACTACAGCCTTGGGGTTTTTTCTTTTTTTTTTTTTTTTTCTCTCTTCTCCTTTCTCTTTTTCTTTTTTTTCCCCCCTCAGTTCTACATGAGCACATAGAGAGGGTTCAGGATAGAATTTCCAAAATCTATCAATTACTGTGAATCAAATACATCTTTCTTCAAATTTATTCTAAGCTTATGTAATCCCTTTGCTTGTCTCACTGGCAAGAAACACCTACTCCAAGAAAGCACATGGGTTTGTGCAAGCAGAGCAATCAGAGCAGTGTGACTTATTTGTGGATAGTTACGAAGTTCTGTTTAGCAGTAATACTTTGGTACAAAGTTTCTAAACACAGTATCATATACTCTAGAGAAGTGTTTGTCACGGAAATGTTAACCCCATGTCTCTGCCAAGATCACAGCTTTGCCTGAAAAGCACACACCCCTGCCTTTGTTTCAAAATTGTGTCATTTTAATGCTTGCTTAAGCATAAGTAAATTACCTTTTAACCTTGTTTCTAAACGCTGTGCAGTTCCCATAAAACCCTGTAACTAGATGCACAGAGATTCTGTAGCAATCAAAGTACAAAATCAACAGCTACTCATTTTAGATCCATGGCGGTCTTAACTTCCGGTCCCCCCGAAACGTAACTAGCGCATTACGCATCATTTAGTTTCCACTAATCCATCTTTATAAGCAAAGCCTACAGCAGCACTCATCAACATTGTCAGGTTCTAGTTTTGACAGTGCTACTCATTTCAAACACACACAGATGCACACGCGCGTGCACACACCAGATGTTAGCTGAATGCTAATAAAGAAATAAACTGCCTTCCTGGAAAGCAATGGCATTTTATGGAACAACTGAAAAGGTTGGAGAAGGAGTCACAGCGTTCTCAGGCACTATGTTTCACATGTGCGACACACAGAAATACACGTTCCAGCTTTGACTTCTCAAGCTACCAATTCTACTGAAATGAAACCATGAATTAAATAGATGCACACCAGGCTGTGCCAGCAGACTCCAGTCTCCATCCCTGTTCCCCCAGTGGGGTGGGAGGGGAAGCTGTTATGCACCCAAGATCTCCTTTCATGAATCACACGTTCATTATACTTCACATATACTGCCTGTGGCTCCAAGGCTCTCTCGCTAGCTCCCACCAGCTCCCCCAAATCCCAGTGCCCCTTAAAGTATCTACAATGCACTCAAGATAATACTAGCAAATCATAATTTGGAGAAAATTAGTGCTCAGAGAAATTAGCTCACAGTGAGTTTCAATCTTCTGTCTGTATTCCCCAAATACATAGAAAACATAAAAGGATTTAAGGTAATAAGTAATCTGCGATGAGAAAAAAGGCAGGAAAAAAACTCGCATTTGTATGCCTACTGTGTTGAACATCACTATTCGGTATATCAAAATAGAAGTTTTTGCTGAACCTTAATGCCCACTGCCAAGAATGTAGCACAAATTGTGCCTTTCTAGCATTTTTGCAAGCTGTCCTCTCATGACAGACCAATGAATTCATAATTGTGAGAAAAACTGCATTGTATGAGAGTAAAATATTTAAGCGACTGAAACTTTGCTTAGCACATTACAACATATTCCATTTCATAAAAGTATTTAAATGGTATTATAATGGACTTGGAGAAGATAATGAAGTTACAGTGATAACAGCACACTGGAAAGTCATCTACAAGCACCAAGAGATTCATAAGGAAACAAAGTCCCACTTTTGTAATAGATAACGACAAGGCAATCGTTTAGATCAGCACCAGTACCAATGACTACCTACCTCTTGGGACAAGAAGGGAATGACTTGTGCACATATAGCATTCAGCCTCTTCACAATTTCTGCCTGCAAGTGACAAGAAGAAAGAAGTTCCATTACACATACATTTTATACATTTTCAGATGCGATTGTCAGCCACGAACACAGAAGTCACATTTTTGGTGGGCTTTGTCTTTTTTTTTTTTATTTTTTTTCTTCCCATTTCTAGTCATCTTCTGGCCAGGACAGCTTACCAAAACAACAAAAGTATTTGGACACCAATTCAACAGTATCTAGGAAGGTTATAATATCTGGCTAAAAGGTTTTCCTTAAAAAACACAGTTTTGAACTGACACAAAAGTTAATTCTGATCATGTAAAGTCATTCAAAGAAAAAAAACCCTCAGGAGATGTAACAATAAAGATAAACAAAATACTGTGTCTTGAACTAAACTCTCTCCTATGAGGCAGTAATAGAGATAATTTCAAATCACTGTAAGTGATGGGAACAAATAAACTAGCTACTTCTATACTAACCCAGCATATCATGAGAACATTAGCAACACAACATACAACTTCACTGATAACCATTCTACCATGTATATTAGAAAGGGATACTGCAGTCTTCTATCATATTTATGTTGTTATCCAACACGAGGTTAATAGTTGTTACTTTCATGTTGCAATTGTAATCAGAAATTAATAATATAAATTGTTTTATTTCTATACTGGAGATCTGTTCTTATTCTGTGTATTCAATTGGTAAATCTCAACAGAGATAAAAGAGATTTTGGAGAGATTCAGAGCTCCAGAAACCGAGTATTTAAAGCCACACAGACTTTCTGATAACAAATTATAACTTTCTTACAAAAAATAGCAGCCAGGATCAGTTCCTCACTGCAGGGTAGAACAGAACACCCTTCCCATTGCAAAGTCACTAACTGTACAATGAAGACACAAAAATGTGCAATTTAGGCTTCCTTCTTTTAACAGTAACCCTTCCAGGTTTCTTGCTATGCTGTCCATTTAATTGTGAATGGTTAGAAAAGAATCTGTAGAATAGAAAGGCTAAGAACTAGCAGTAAAAAATCCAGAATCACATATCAATCTGGGTTCAAGGAATATTACAGATATAGAGCTATGTAAGCAGATGACACTCTACACTAGAGGTACCTGTGAAACTAACTCTGCCCCCTTGTGCATACTGTGATACATTTGAGTTAACACACACACTCTTTTGTGTGTGTTTTAAATTTCTTAATTTGTCTGAAATCCATTTAAATTAACCTAGGCTATTTACACAGTAACTACTATGTTACACTACCCCAGTACCTTCTCACTGGTCTTCACTGTTTATGCAAGCTCTCATGTCATTGAAGTTATACTTTTTAATACATTTTTTACATTGATCTACTATTGCTTCTGTTTATTCAGCAGCATAAGTACCTTAAAGGACACTTGAGTATATGATCTGTTCACCACAATGCTAGGTTACCTGCTAATTTCAAAGGTCTATGCATGTCTGTAACATCAGATGTCCCTCTATGCAAAACTTAAATATCCCTTTAAATAGACTGTTCACTACACTAGTTCACACAGAAATTGACAACCTGCTTGTTACACAGAACAGTACAGGCAGCAACAAGATGCGTGCATCTAAGCTTCAGCCAGAAAGGTTGCCCCATACAATACGGCATTATTTGAGAACAATATTTGATTAAGGAACCGTAGACCACAGCACAATGCACAGCTGCAAAGTACCTGTGCTAATAGTGGTTCAAGCACCATTAATTTAGTAATTTTCAAATTCTGGGTCCCAGCCATGCTGCTATTTATTTTTAAAGGAATCTCCCGAGTACCTTAAAACCAAAGAGAAAACTATACATCTCGCTCTTCAAGGCTTTTCGGTATGAAAAGGAAACTCCAAATTGCTGTTGTTCCCACTTGAGCTGAAGCCCCTCTGAACTACCATTTTAAAAAAGGTATGTGATGCTTTCCTCTGCTGCAAAACAACAACTCCTACCCAACTTTAAAATGCCTATCGCAGCCTTATCCACCTCCTGTGCAGCTCCTGGGAGGAGCGTCTTGGCTGTGGTCAGCAGAAGACCACTCCTCCATCACATCCATGCCAGGTTCATGCCTCTACTACACTGCTTTGGAAGGGAGAATAAAACTGGCTCTAAGTGCCATGCAAGAGCTCAGCACATAATTTTAAAAGGCTTGTAGATTCATAGATTTTAAGGCCGGGAGGACTTAAAATTGTCTTATCTGATATCTTGAATAACACAGATTGTGAAACTTCACTGACTCCTTCATCAAACTTGCGAACTCTACTTCAGCTTAGTCAACAAAAATAATTTTATTCAGCTCACTTTGAGGCATTTCTTCTCAATTAAAGTATTTCAAGCTATTTCAGCTATGATGTTTTTCTTTTGATTACTCCCCTCCCCACTCCCCAGAAGACAAGAATGTTGTTCTCCTGACCAACAAGCAGTTGAAACACATTTGCTTGGTATTTATACAAAAATTCACCTCCAGCAGATTTTAAGCCTGGGAAATGTTAAGTTAAAAAGCATCTTCCAAAAAGCTGTAAGTAACTGAAAACAGGTGACTGAATATGAATGGTTACACAACTGTAATAAACCTTTTGACATCAATCCCACTGGAGCGCAGAACACCAAGTCTTTTCATGCTGTATGCAGGAAAGTGGAGACACCACCCAGCTCAACCTACAGAGAAGAAAAAGAGCTCCCTAACAGCGCCAAGAGATATTGAGACATTCCCCAGCAGCACTTCTCAACTAGGTAAGGGGCCCACTATGCCAGTCTCAACAAATCTGAGAAGCCCTTCCTATGCAGAAGCAGGTGTTTACACTATTTCCTTATTAAAACAGTTCTCACTTCCCCTAACAGTGGCCATCTCCAATTGTGTGTCTGCACATACAGTTGTTTTATCACCCTCAACACATGGAGAGCAAGGAAATAGCCCAACTGAGCAGCAGTGAACTGCAGAGGTACAGCATTGAGACCACAGAGAGCAGGCAGACATGAAGGAAAGCACTGTGTACATGCCCAGAGACAGGAAGGACATTGCCTGTTCTTCACCAAAAAAATCTTAAACCGGACTTTTTCCCATAGTACATACAAAGCACCCTTTGCCTTAGCACTGCAACTGTTTCTGCAATTAACTGTACAGGACAATACCAGAGCAACAAGCTTGATTGTTTATCCAAACACATACAAGAGAAGAAGTCAGCAGCTGGATTCTAGGTAGAGCAGGTTTCTTGCAACACGACCCTGTAATTTGAACGTGTAGGTACTGATGACATAGGTCAGGATCTTGGTACACCTTTTACTACTGCCATCGGAGGTGGCCTGTGTACCTCTTCCCCGTGTAAGGTAAAACGTCAGACACAAAATAAAACATGAGTTCACTTCAGATTTCTATGCTCATACAGATTTTTGAAGCATTATGTTTAAAACCCAGTTTTGGATCTCCTCTTTTCTCTTAGACAACAGGCCAACAGGTTTTTCATGATCAATGTAATTGCCAGGAGAAGGAAAAAGTATGATTTTCTAAAATCCAGCAGCCAATTCCTCACATGAAAAGCCAAAGTTGCCTCAGAAACACAGATGCTTCTGAGGTCATCTAATTTTGCCTCTCTTGTCCCATGGGACCAGACTTTAGAGACGCATCATTTATTTACAGGCCATTCTACTGGGCTTCAGTTATTGGCCAATAATACTGTGGACACACACACTTTTAATGGCCTATGTTTTGAAACCAAGTCTAATCTGATGGCGCAGTGCCCCAACTCTTTTTCCAGCATAGCCATTAAAGGATGTAGGTTATTGCTGTTGTCACCATTGATATTTGTCATTGTAATGTAATTAGGGCCCTAAAATGATGCATTACAGCCCTTGGCACAGCTTCTATTAAAATCTTTTCTTCTGCTCACTGAACTGCGACCTGCTTTCTGATGAATAACAGACAGACAGCTTTAGGGTGAGGAACAGATTCATCAAAGAAGTATTTTTCAGCTCTGGAAATAAAGTAAATAAATAAATAAATGGATAGCATAGTGCAACCTAAGAAGAAAAGTACAAGGAAGGGGAAAAAAATAAATAAATACCCAAAACCACATAGCACATTTGAATTTCATCTGACCACTTGAAATTCTGATTGCATCTGATGAATCTTTCTTAGGACAATATATTCCCAGCCTGTGAATCACATGGTTAATCAGGGCTCTAATCTGCTATCCATCAGCCTATGCCAGCACTGTAACTTCCAATCAAATTTATAGGTTATGTGGGTCACGCATCCCTGAACAACTACATTCACGGATATCCCATTTAAACGGGCACAGATTCTGAAATGCTGTTGTTAGGGTTACTGAATGTTATAATACTATTCAAAGCTTTATGAAAGCTCCTGATAAACAGCTGCTAAATTACTGCCTGTGGATACAGCGTGATGCTCTGAAATAGCATTAATGGCCCAATAAAAGGGCAATTGTTCATGCCAAAATATAAAAAGGATAGCTTTTGCTGCCATAGTTTGTCAAATATGTTAACAAATACCAACGCTTCTATTACTCCTTTCGCTAAACACAAAAGATGTTTGGTTTTGCATAGAAACATACCAGCATGGAACTGGAAAAGACAAGAAAGAGGCAGGGAGGGAAGGCTCAGGCTGGAATCATCTTTTTACTTATCTAACACAAGCTTGCATTGTTTGCATCCTCTGGAAGACCCCTAGAGAAGACACTTCTAGCAGTTTCGAGCTCTTGCCATAGCCACTTTGTGGCATTTTTTTTTTTAAAAAATGAAAGATTAAATATTTATTAACTACAATGTTAATCACCTTTTCATTTTGTTATGCATATAAAGAGAGGATAATAAAACCACTCTGCCACAACCTGATTCAAGTAAAGAAATGAAGCCCCATATCAGCTAACGGACCCTCAGCACTCCTGCAGTGACAATACAAGAGCAACAGCTTAGGTCCCAGATTCAGCCAATAAAATCTTTTTTGACCAAAGTTAATGGTTGAATGGTACTCGGTTGCCTAAATACGCCTAAGAAC